GTGTGTGTGTGTGTGTGTGTGTGTAAGGATTTTTGTTTTCTTTATGTTGAAGTATAATCTGTACTGAAGGCTGTAGTCTTTGATCTTCATTATAAAGTTCTTCAAGTCCTCTTCACTTTCAGCAAGCAAGGTTGTGTCATCTACATACTGCAGGTTGTTAATGAGTCTTCCTCCAATCCTGATGCTTCGTTCTTCTTTATATAGTCCAGCTTCTGGGATTCTTTGCTCAGCATATAGATTGAATACGTATAGTGAAAGGATACAACCCTGATGCACACCTTTTCTGATTTTAAACCATGCAGTATCTCCTTGCTCTGTTCAAACGACTGCCTCTTGTTCTATGTATAGGTCCCACATGGGCACAATTAAGTGTTCTGGAATTTCCATTCTTCACAATGTTGCCATAATTTGTTAAAATCCACTCCGTCGGATGCCTTTGCCTGGTCAATAAAACACAGGTAAACATATTTCTGGTATTCTCTGCTTTCAGCCAAGATCCATCTGACATCAGCAATGATATCCCTCGTTCCGTGTACTCTTCTGAATCTACTTGAATTTCTGGCACTTTCCTATGTACTGCTGCATCCGTTTTTGAATTATCTTCAGCAAGATTTTACTTGCATGCGATATTAATGATATTGTTAGGTAATTTCTGCAGTCTGCTGGATCATCTTTCTTTGGAATGGGCACTGTAAAAATGGCGTGGCAGTGTCTGACCTCCTCTAACTTCACAAGGGGGAATAAGCATCAAAATCAACAGCCCAAGGCTGATTCCTATGAGGTAGAGGTCAGACATGCCTCCTCTCTCCAGCCTTTTTATCAACTCTGACACCAAGCCATCCTTCCCTTGGCACTCTTTACTTCTCTGATAGGTTCAATAATTCATTGTAATGGCCACACAGAACTCATAGACAATGTTTACGATTATGGAGTTTATTAGGAGAGTAACACACTACAATTCAGGTTCAGGAGGGACTCAGGATATAGTTCTTCAGTCAGGCCTCCCCTGGCCCTCAGGCCTCTTGGGCCAGCCCGGCCTCTGCCCTGCTCAGGCAAGTGTTAGAAAGCTCTTTAGCTCTCCTGAAAAGTGCCCAGAGGTATCCTACACCACCAGTAAGCCTCGGCCTGAAGGCACTCAGCTCTCTAGCTCCATGGGTTAGCCAGCCTAGCTCCACAAAGTGCCCGGATGCACCCCACTCTGCTGGCAAGCCTCCTGCCTGAAGGTGCTCAGCTTTACCGCTCTGTGGGCCAAGAAACCCGCAGTACCATTTCCCACTGGTCTCCTGGTTCTGGTACATCTGCTGCCGCCATTTCTCTGCCATTGCTTCTCCCCGTCTCTCCCCATCTCTGGTGTTGCAGCTGTTTGTGTCCTGGCTAGGAGGTTCCCAATGCAGGGACTCCAGCCCCAAAGGACGTGCTCCACTTTAGTCTCTTCTTTCTTGGTGGTAGTGAGGTTCACCCCTCTGCTTTGGAATTGGCTCTCTTTTAAACCTAGCTGGATGGCAAAACTAACCAATCCCCTTGTTAGGGTTCTGTAACCTTATTTGCATAATCCCAACCACAAGGGTGCCATGCACCTTATTTGTATTATTAGCAAGCTATCCAATCCCCTTGGTGGGCCAAAAGCACCTTATTTGCATAGTTCCACCCAGTCTTTTGGTGGGCGTTATAAGACTATGGCTAGAAGGGCCATATAAGTAATTCACTGCACCGCAGGCACATATATGGATCTCTTTCAGTTGGTTAGAAAATTAAAACAAGTCCATGAGAGCCAAAGTACGACTTTGAGTATATCCCACCCAAATTTAGAGACCATCTCAAGAATAAACTGGATGCATTGAACACTAATGACTGAATACCAGACGAGCTGAGGGATGACATCAAGGACATCATACGTGAAGAAAGCAAAAGATCATTAAAAAGACAGAAAAGGAAAAAGAAACCCAAGTGGATGTCAGAAGAGACCCTGAAACTTGATCTAGGATGTAGAGTAGATAAAGTGAATGGAAGAAATGATGAATAGAAGAGATAAACAGAAGATTTCAAAGGGCGGCTCGAGAAGACAAAGTAAAGTATTATAATAAAATGTGCAAAGACCTGGAGCTAGGAAACCAAAAGGGAAGAACACGCTTGGCATTTCTCAAGCTGAAGGAACTGAAGAAAAAATTCAAGACTTGAGTTGCAATATGGAAAGATTCTATGGACAAAAAATTGACATATGAAGCATCAAAAGAAGATGGAAAGAATACACAGAGTTACTATACCAAAAAGAATTGGTCGACATTCAACCATTTCAGGAGGCATCATGTGATCAAGAACTGACAGTACTGAAGGAAGAAGTCCAAGTGGCACTGAAGGCACTGGTGAAAAAGACGTGTCCAGGAATTGATGGAATACCAACTAAGATGCTTCAACAAAGGGATGCAATGCTGGAAGCACTCACTCCTCTATGTCAAGAAATTTGGAAGACAGCTACCTGGCCAACTGAAGACAAGTCTGCCTAGAATTCTTTTGTTGACTGACAACAATAATACAGCATGGTCCTTCAGCAGAAGCTCTGGAGATAGTTGGTAATAATGGTACCTTACACTTACATACTACAAAGTACTATCATTTGCATTATTTTACTTAAGAAACAGATAACAGTATTGAGGCATAGTAGTGAGTAGATAGTAGGATAATCTTCAAGATTAGATAACAAATTGTAGTCAGATTAAGAATTAGAACCAGTTTTCCTTTTAGATCCTGATATTTGTATTGTTATTGGTTTTTCAGTGCATACATCATAAATGTACCCTAAAAAATTCTTAAGCATATTATTAACTCAAAAACTAAAAAATGTTATTAAAAGAAATAAAAGAATAAAGCTTGTTTTGGAATAATTTGATTAATGTCTGTAACCACATTTCCCCTAAGTAGCTATTTCAAATAGATGGTTAAGGTTTTTCTACTCTGCATGATAGAGTTCTGAATGTTTTATTTAGAGGTGCTTGATGCTAGTGAACACTTTATTAGAAACTGACTAGATCAATACAAAACATGGTCATTGGTATCGTTTTATTAATCATTAGAATATGTATTCAATTCCAGTGAAATGAGAAGATTTAAAAGGGAAGGGACTTTTATCACTAAGCAGATGCCATAGCTCTAGGAGGAGTGAGTAAGCTTCAGGGTAAACCCTAAACAGCCTCAGGAACGGCTTCTTTTCAGTTCCCTTCCCCCGCCCCATCAAGTGGGCTGTGAAATAAAGGCTCCCAATCGGTTTATGTTAATGCTGAGAGTTTTGGTGGCATTTCAATTATTCATGAAGCAAAAAGAATCATCACAGTCTCCTTCAAGGCAACCGATGTTTAGCTCAGAGAGATAAAGTGAGCTGCCCAAAGCCACCCAAGACCAGGTCCCATATCTGCTGACTCTCGGGGTTTCCAAGGCCAACACTTAGTGGCTGCTTCATCTGGAAACAAGCTGTGAACCCTGGCGCCGTGTCGGCCGTGCTACAGAGGCACAAACAAGGGGAGGAGACAATCTCATCCGAAGTGGACTTGACTCTTTCAGGGTAGTCAAATCATGTCCCTAACTGTAGACAATATCACCTAAAGATGCCACCTTCCTGATTGTGGCCATATCTTCATTACTCGTAGCCTATTATTTCAAAATATTTTTTCCTAAAATGAACTTATTTTTTAAGTTAAATTAAGTTTCCATCAAGTTTCCCCTGGATAGCTGCCACCCCTTCATCCTGGGTTCCAGAATGAACACAGATAGAGCAGATCTGAGCCCAAATCTCAGGGAGGAGCCAAGCCAAGCAGGCTGTCTAGCGTGAGGCAGAGCCACCCATCTGAGCCTAGCCTAGCTGACCAACCCTCAGCCAACTTACAGATGTATGAACAATAATAAATATTTATTTAAAATTAATAAATATATTACCAGTTATTCCTGAGTCGACTCTGACTTCTGGTGACCTCATGTGTGTTAGAGTAGAACTGTGCTCCTTACGGATTTTAATGGCTGATTTTTCGGAAGTAGATTGCCAGGACTTTCTTCCAAGGTGCCTCTGGGTTTACTTGAAACTCCAGCCTTTTGGTTAACAGTCCAGTGGGTTAACCATTGGCACCACTCAAGGAGCCCAATAAATATATTACAAGGCTTAAAAGAAAAAACTGAAGGATGCACTATTACAGAAATAAAATTTAATTTTTTCACTCTATCTGATCAAGATGTTAAAAATGCACTGGTGATCGACAACTCCTATCACAGAACCATTTAGTATCGTTTTTGTTTTCTAAATAAAATCAGGATGTTGGCCAGGCTTTTTTTCTTATGGAATATTCAGAAAGATATTTAAGAAAGATCTATGCAACTTAATAATTGCTAACGCTTATGTAGTTTTTATTATGTGCCATGAACTGATCTAAACCCTTCACATTTGTGAACTCATGTAATCCTGGTATACACACAAAATACCAGATGAGGTAGGAGCTATCACACTTATTTCTTAGATGCGAAAACCTAGGACAAGAGGTAGCTTGCCTCAACTCACTGCCTGTAACTTGCAAAATATGTAGTTTACAAGCAAAAGGCTCAGGAAGCAAAAGTACTCCCAAGCCACTTGGCTTTTCGGTCCTCTCCTGGAAAAAGGGACATCGAAAGTTTCGGTGGCTAACCTTTGTAAGAAATGGACTTGGCAACTTTCATTTCAGGGCAGGGCCGTCTGGTGGCTTGGACACCTCCCTCATCCTTCCTTCTGCAGCAGGCACCCACGCCTGTTTCCCTCGTCTTCGCCTATTTCGCGTTGCTGCCCTTCCTCCTATCTCCCGCTCCTCCCCCGCGGCACAGTTCCTCCCCCGCTCCGGGCCACCACGTCGCCCTGGAAACGCATCCTTGCTCTGTCCGCCGTCGCGCGGCCGTGGCGTAATCGGCGCGGGGCTGGCGTCAGGTCGTGAGGCGGGGCCCCGGGCCCGGCCGGCCGGAGGCGGGGCCGGTGTGAGGGTCGAGCTCCGGGTTTCGGCGGCCATCGCTGCCTGCGCGGTTGCTTCGCCTCGCCCGCTCCCGGCCCTCCTGGGCCGAGTGGAGCCGGGTGGCGTCAGCGGCCTAGCTCCAAGGGGCATCTCGGCTTCAGGGGCTCGGCCTCCAGCACGCCGCAATGCCGGGCGCGGCGACGGATCTGTGAGGCCGCGGCCGTGGCGCTGGGCGGCGGTGGGGCCGGGCCGGTTCTGCTCATGGTGCCGCCACGACGACATCGCGGGGTAGGAAGGCCAGGTAGGCAGGCGGGGGGACCCAGAATCAACCGGAACCAAAACCGGGGCTGAGTGCCCGCGCACAGCCCTACCTCCAGCCCTTGGTGGCAGCCAAAGTGCCCTGACCGAAATGGGGACAGTCTCTAGGGGCGGAGTGAGGGGGAGGCTGACAGGGGCACCCTAGACCGGTCCAGACTCGGACATCGAGGAAGCTGCTAGTGAGTAGTACTGTCGTCTCTGTGGAGGTCGCCGACCCTGTTTGAAAAGGCGTCTTTTAACTTTTTTTTTTTTTAACCGCCTCTCCCGCCCCAATACAAGAGGAGTCCCTTTAACAGCTGTTTGATCTCCTCACTCCTCGTGAGTTACTGTTTTGATCTAAAATAACTAGATGCAGTGACAGGGGTGGTTGGGGAAGCGTGGAGGATCGTTTTCCTTTACCATGTGAGGTGATTGGAAAGATGCCCCAAGAACCACAACAAATCACTTCATCTCAAATAACCAAATTCCACTCGAGGAGATCAGGGACAGAAAAGGCAGTTTTAGAAGTAGGCGCCTGTCTAGACACTGTCTCTAGGGTGGATACCTCTGGAGGGAGAGGCAAATGGGTGTTATGTATTTTTGAAATTCGGAGAAGCTACTTTCCAGTAGTAAACTATTCTTAAATATGCTGTATGTTCACGCTTGCTTTTTCGACTGTGCCGAGTACTTTTCAGACCATAATCTGAAGTATGCAGTGGATAGATAGCATGAAAGTCTACAGAAAAGGGTCCAATTATATTTAATACATTTTAGAGTTTTTTTTTCTCATTTGCATGTTTTCATAAGCACCATTTTGTTATTTTTAGGTGTTCTCAGTTCTTCACCTCCTTTTAGACTCACATCTGCCAAGTTTTCAGGCATTACTTTTGAAGACCTCAGAAAAGCCCTTAAAATCAGGTAACTACCACGTCTTTCATTTACTATGTGGTTTTCATAATAAATGCTATTTGTTTCTGTTACACTAATTACCTCCTTTTTGTAAGGTTATTTGTCCAAAATCATCTCTAATGTGATCTGTATTTTCTAAAAACAGACTACAAATGGTGTGTGTATTTATCATGAACCGAATGAATTCCCAGAGCAGTGGTTTCACTCAGCGCAGGCGAATGGCTCTTGGGATTGTTATTCTCCTACTTGTTGATGTGATATGGGTGGCTTCCTCTGAACTTACTTCGGTATGTAATTCTTTTCTAGGAATGATGTTACATTATAGTAATAAGATTACTGTTAACCTGTAGTATCTCTAGCCATTACTATGTTTCATACTTAGGAAAGGCAGTATTTTGAATGTTGTTGAACTCTTTATGTTTTCTTCGGCATTTAATTAGTGTCAATTCAAGTCGAAACTGAAAGGATACTCTTTTTGTTGTTTTGTAGGGTTTTTATGTATCTCTTAGGAAGAGTACTTAGAAATAGACTATGTATATATATTTTCTTAATATTTGAAGGTGTTTTCTACTGACCTTTTTAAAATTCAGTCCTTTTCTCTATACATGTTACTTTTAGTGGAACAGCCATCCAGGATACAAAACAATTTGTCACCATTTAGTAGAAAGCAAGACTGTTTTTGGACAATGAAAGATGAGAAAAGTGATCACAGTTTTCATGACAGGTCACTATTGAGCACATGAATGGATGCATGTACATTTATATGTTTGCTGACTCAAACATTATTGTGATGTGCACATTATACAATGATTGCCTTTTAGTTAAATTTTATTTTGTCTTTATTGATGACATATTGATAGTAATGGAGTATTTTGAGTTCACAAGCTGGTTTTTCTTTCTACTTATGTAATTACCCTATTCTGTATAGTTAATGATCCCTATAAAAAGACCAAACCTGTTGCCAATGAGTTAATTCCAACTCATGGCAACCTCATCTGTGTCAGCGGAGAATTGTGTTCCTTAGGGTGTTCAATGGCTAATTTTTCAGAAGTAGATTGCCAGGCCTTTCTTCCAAGGTACCTCTAACCGTTTGGTTGGCAGCTGAGCACTTAACCCTTTGCACCATCTAGGAACTCCATCTAGATCCTAGAGGAGCTCATTCCTCTTGGGTTGTCATTTTTTCTAGGCCTTTCAGTGCCCATAACTAGGATTTCTTTTTTTCAAGAAGACCAAAAGATCATGAGTTTATGCTGACATTTCCATTATAGGTTTTTATATAACTTCCTAATAACTTTAAACTACATGTGATTTTCTTCACACAGTATTCTCTTTTGTGATTTTATTCCTTTTTCTTTTAATGCTGTTTCCTCTGCTTGGGCTAATTCTAGGAGCCCTGGTGGCACAGTGATTAAAATGCTTGGCTGCTAATTAGAAGGTCGGTGGTTCGACCCGCCAGCCTGCTCCGTGGGAGAAAGATGTGGCAGTCTGCTTCTGCAAAGATTTGCAGCCTTGGAAACCTTATAGGGCAGTTACTCTGTCCTATAGGTTGCTATGAGTCGGAATCGACTCAACGGCAATGGGTTTTTGGTTTTGGGCTAATTCTTATTCAGCCCTTCAGACACAGCTCAAGAATTGCCTCTCTTGGGAAACTTTTCCATAACCTTCAAATTAATCTGTCAACCTTTGATGCTGCCATGACACCCTTATGTCCTGGTTATGGTATTCAGCACGTTGTATTGTATTCTTATCATACACGTCTCCTCTGCTAGACTATAAGCTCCTCAAGGACAGGAAAGCCTATCTTACTCTGCTTTAGCCCCCAGCACAGGTCCCATTGCATAGTAGGTTTTCAGTGAATGCTGAACAAAAATTTTTTTGCAGGTTGTTGTTGTTTTGTTTGGGGATATTATCCTTTATATGCAAGACAAATAAGTATTCAGAAGTGAATCTAAATTTTTTTTACAATCCCTTTTGATCTTGCTCTTCCGAATGAACTTCTTAAGGAGTTAAAAAAAGAAATCACATAATGGCCTTATATTTTGGAGATGAGTAATAAGATTTAAAGTCATCTCATAGTTGTCTGTATAACTTTTTCCTCTACAGTATGTTTTTACTCAGTACAACAAACCGTTCTTCAGCACCTTTGCAAAAACATCCATGTTTGTTCTATACCTCTTGGGCTTTATTATTTGGAAGCCGTGGAGACAGCAGTGTACAAGAAGATTTCAAGGAAAGCATGCTGCCTTTGTAAGTTTTTTTTTAATTGTTTTTAGTGTTTGATGGGGAAGGAATGTATTTTTTCAAAGTTTAAAGATGTATTAGTTTCTTTAAGGACAGTCAGATGTAAGTTCAGTTAAGTGAATGATGTAGTATGATAGAAGAAACACCTACTTTAATGTAAGTTTTTAAATTTATCCTTCTGATCAACTTGTTATCAGAATATCTTACGAGAAATCAAAGGTACGTAATCACTTTCTTCCCTTTACCCCATCACATCCTCTGCTTTGTTAAGAATTGCTGCACTAGCCCAAATCAGTTAATGTGGAGAGGATGATGACAAGTAAGGAATCAGAATATCTGGAATCTTTAATCATTGGAAGAATGGATGAGTATCATCTAATTAGTTGAAAAGTTGATAAATACTAAAATGAAAATAGCATATTTTCAGGGTATGTTTCAGATGTATGGATAATCAGATTACATTCTTTCACTGAGGTAACATAACCTACTGATTCACAGTATCAAAAGAAGTAGTAATTTACATAGTGTTATATCTTCCTTATAGAAGTAGAAACTTTGAATTTTTGAGAATGAAAACTAAAAAGTGTCACATGTTAATTCTTTTATGTGTACTATTTTTGGGAGGTTTAAGTAGTATTTCTTGCCTTAGCTAATGAGTATATTCCTGAGGAGTGTACGCATATACTCATTAGAGTTTCATTGGGGACTTTTCAATAACTGTGTATGAGGCGAAGCCTAGAAACGTACACTCAGGCGCACACACAAATTTAACTTAGGAAAAATATAAATATGTACATTTTACTTTATAGGAGTAGTACATGTACATAACAGAAATGCATGTATATTGTAGTATTTCATGTAGGAATACGTTATATGTGTATTAATACATGCACATTGTAGATGCAGTGTGATGGATTGCTTTTATATGGCTTTTCTTCCCATGGTTTTATAATTTCCATCAAATGATTGGGTGGAACTATGCAGATAAGGTGCTTGTGGCCCGCCAAGGGGATTGGACAGCTTAATAATGCAAATAAGGTGCATGGCACCCTGGTGATGGTGAGACCACACAAATAAGGTGTATGAAACCCTAATGAGGGGATTGGTCAGTTTTGCCATCCTGCTAGGCTTAAAAGAGAGCCAATTCCAGAGCAGATGGGGGAGCTCAGTACCACCAAGAAGAAGAGCCTAGAGTGGAGCACATGCTTTGGTCCGTGCTCTGAGAACCTCCTAGACCCAGGAGACAGAGAGAGAGAACTGTAACACTGGAGATGGCACAAGATGGTGAGAAGCAGTGGCAAACAAGTGCAGCAGAGAACTGGCAGCAGCAAAACCAGGAGACTGGCAGGAGACAGTGCAGTAGACTCACTAACCCACAGAGCAAGAGAGCTGAGGGCCTTCAGGCAGGAGGCTTGCTGGGAGAGTGGGGCACCTCCAGGCACTTGTTCGCTAGGCTTGCCAACGCACCCAGCTAGAGAGCTAAATGCCTTCGGGCTGAGGCTTACTGGCATAGTAGAGTGCCTCTGGGCACTTGTTGGTAGAGCTAAAGGGCTTTGTAACATTTGTCCAAGCAGGGCAGAGGCTGGGTCAGCCCAAGCGATCTGAGGGCCCAAGGACCTAGAGGTTGAGGGCCAGGGAGAGGCCTTCCTAAGAGCATGGCCAAGAAGCTATCCTGACGGAAGAACTGTATCCTGAGTTGTTCCTCATCCTGAGTTGTATTATTTCCCTAATAAACCGTATAAAGCATGAGTATTGCTTATGAGTTCTGTGTGGCCATTGCAATGAATTATTGAACCCAACATAGAAGTATAGGGTGCCATAGGAGGGATGGCTGGTGTCAGAATTGGTAAAAAGGCTGGAAAGAGGAGGTATGTCTGACCTCTGCCTCATAGAAATCAGTTTTGGGCTAATGCTGATGGTGATTCGCTCTCCCCCTTGTGAAGTTAGAGGAAGTCAGACACCCCCACCACACCATTTTTACAGTAGAAAATTTAGAAAATGCGTACTAACAAAAAAGAAGACAACCCCTTGTAATTCTTATGATTCAAAGACCATTCTTTTTCTTTCATTTATATTTCTTTCATTTATATTTTCATTTGTATTTTAGTTTTAATAGAAATGCAACTGTACTATTTTGTACTGTTTTATAACCTGCTTTTTTGGCTTATTAATAGTATAGCATGAAAAACTTTTTATATAAATTTTTTAATGTTTAAGTGTTTTTTTTTTTCTTTCTTTTTTTTCCCTAGCCCCAGCTACTCTTTTCCTAAAAGTGTTTGGATGTGTGCAGGAAAGTGTTGCTTTTTTTTTTAAAATTTTATTGTGCTTAAGGTGAAAGTTTACAGTGCAAATTAGGTTCTCATTCAAAAATTTACACACTAATTGTTTTGTGACATTGGATGCAATCCCTGCAATATGTCAGCACCCTCCCCCTTTCCCTTTACACCCCGGGTTCCCTCTGTTCATTCGTCCAGTTTTCCTGTCCCTTCCTGTCTTCTCATCTTTGCTTTTGGGCAGGTGTTGCCCATTTGGTCTTGTATACTTAATTGAACTGAGAAGCACGTTCCTCGCATGTGTTATTGTTTGTTTTATAGGCTTGTCTAATCTTTGGCTGAAAGGTAGACTTCGGGAGTGGCTTCAGTTCTCAGTTAGCAGGGTGTCCAGGGGCCATAGTGTCGAGGGTTCCTCCAGTCACCATCAGAGCAGTAAGTCTGGTCTTTTTCCGTGAATTTGAATTTTGTTCTACATTTTTCTTCTGCTCTTTCTGGGACCCTGTATTATGATCCCTATCAGAGCGGTCAGTGGTGGTAGCCAGGCACCATCTAGGTCTTCTGGGCTCAGGCTGGTAGAGGCTGTGGTTCATGTGGTCCCTTAGTCCTTTAGACTAATATTTTCCTTGTGTCTTTGATTTTCTTCATTCTCCTTTGCTCTGAATGTGCTGGGACCAGTAGATGTATCTTAGATGGCCACTCACAAGCTTTTAAGACCCTGGATGCTACTCACCAAAGTAGGATGTAGAACATTTTCTTTATGAACTATGTTATGCCAGTTGACCTAGAGACCGTGATCCCCAGCCCTCAGCCCCAGTAACTCAGTCCCTCGAGGTGTTTGGATGTATCTAGGAAGCGTCTATGACTTTGCTTAGGTCAAGTTGTGCTGACTTCCCCTATATTGTGTGTTGTCTTTCCCTTCACGAAACTTGACATGTCTCCTCTCAAGTTAGTGATTCTCACCCCTCATAACCATCAAAGATTGTTTTTTTGTGTGTGTAAACCTTTTCTTGGGTTTCTATAATAGTGGTCTCATACAATATTTGTCATTTTGTGATTGACCTATTTCACTCAGCATAATGCTCTCCAGATTCATCCATGTTGTGAGATGTTTCACAGATTCATCGTTGTTCTTTATTGTTGCGTAGTATTCCGTTGTGTGAATATACCATAATTTGTTTATCCATTCATTTGTTGATGGGCTCTTAGGTTTTTTTCCATCTTTTTGCTGTTGTGAATAATGCTGCAGTGAACATGGGCAGGCATATATCTATTCTTGTGACAGCTTCTGTTTACTTTTTAATATATTTGTTGGCCAGTGGAATTATTTTGTGAGTTGTCTGTTTATGTCTTGTCCATTTTTCTACATGGACTCCATTTTTTTTTTTTAACTGCCTTTATAACGGTTCTTTATGAGCCCTGCTTGTACAGTGGTTAAGAGCTCAGCTGCTGACCAAAAGGTCAGCAGTTTGAATCCACCGCCTGCTCCTTGGAAACCTTATGGGACAGTTCTACTCTGTCTTATAGGGTCTTGCTATGAGTCGGAATCAACTCGAAGGCAACGGGTTTGTTTTTGTTTTTGTTTTGATATGAGCATGGGCTCTGGTGTTTCAATTTTGCAATGTCATTTGCCTATTTTATGACTTTGAGCAAGTTATTTAACCTCTGTAGACCTTAGTTTCTTTGTAGAGCAGGGATAATGATAGGATAACTGTGGATATTAAATGAAATCTTGTTTGTACAGCACAGCACAGTGGTTCTCAAAAGGTGATCTAGTCCTTGAGATCCATTCAGGGGGTTCTTGAGATCAGAACTATTTTCATATAATCCTAGATGTTGTTTGCCTTTCTTAGCAACCTACCCGTTCTTTCTCTACTAATCTGAAATGTTACAGTTGTTTAATGAAAAGGGCATAAGCTTTGAACTTCGACTAACTTGGGTTTTAATCATGGCTCTGCTCCTTAAATTAGACCTTTAAGTCTCAATTTCCTCATTGCAAGGATGACACTTCAAACTGCAGCTGCACTATAAAAAGGGCAAGGTGGGCAAACCCCACTTTTATCACTAACAGCGTGGCATGGATCAGCATTTCCATTCATACTTTACCTTCCCACGTTTCCATTCCTCGTCGCCAGCTACTTCTGTGACAAAAACTCTCTCTGAGATCTTAACCACCCAGAGTTAGATCAGACCCCATCCCTGAGCCAGGTCAATACATCCCTGGCCACCCGGGGCCAGGTCATCAGGGAGCAGCCATAGGCTTAGGAGTCTGCACAACTTCCTGTACTTCAGACCAGCCGGACTTCCCCTCTCTCTCATTAGTCCCCTGGTACTAGGTTACATATTAGAAGAACTCTATCCTTCATCAACTGCCCTGCAGCCTTTCTCTATCACTCAGCCACCTAGAGAAGGATCTACACAAATTGACTCTGTATTGCCAGCCTCTGTGGGTTCATTCTCTAACTACTCACAGCATACACGGAGACTATTACCTATACTTAAGGAACCCTGGTGGTACAATGGTTAAGCCTTCAACTGCTAACCGAAAGGTCGGTGGTTCACCATCCAGCGGCTCCGTGGGAGAAAAGACCTGGTGATCTGCTCCTGCAAAGGTTACAGCCTAGGAAACTCTGTGGGGCAGTTCTACTGTCCTGTAGGGTCCCAGTGAGTCAGGACCTAATGACAACGACATTGCCTGTACTTAGTTACCCATTTGGGGCCCTGGTGGCACAGTGGTTAAGAACTGTGGCTGTTAACCAAAAGGTTGACAGTTTGAATCCACCAGCCGCTCCTTGGAAATCCTATGGGGCAGTTCTACTCTGTCCCGTTGGGTCATTATGAGTCGGAATTGACTCAATGGCAACAGGTTTTTTGTTTTGTTTTAGTTACCCATTTATTATAACCAGAAAGTATACAATTGAAGAGACATATCTGGCAGTGTCTGGGACAGGTCCCAGCACGAGGCTTTCATTGTCCCCAGGGACATGCTGCACCCTCTTCCATGCGTGAATGTTCTCATCAATCCAGGGAGCCCCAAAGAGAGACCTCCAAGGTCCAGAGTCCCCTAGTCATTGGGACCTCAATGAATATGCATGATTGTGGTTTAATACATAGTTATGATCAGTCCAATCAGAATACACATGACCCCATTATGCCCCCTTTCTTCCTGAAGTTAGCTGGCCAGATGTGGGTCCTGTGTAGCCCCCACTTGCCTGGCTATTTTGGGAAGCAAAGAACACCTTAATTGTTCAGACTGTTTTTAGAAACCAGTACAAAAGTCCAAATCTAGTTCTTTGTCCCACGCTCATCAGTAAAGTTAAGATGATAATATCTCCCTTACCTGGTTGAATACTTGGCATGTCATTAGCTGCCATTAGTATTAATAATAGTTATAGCTCTCGTGGTGCTCAAGTGCTCAGCTGCTAACCAAAAGGTTGGTAGTTGGAACCCACCAGCCGCCCCGCAGGAGAAAGGTGTGGCAGTCTGCTTCCATAAAGATTACAGCCTTGGAAAACCCACGGGGAAGTTCTGCTCTGTCCTATAGGCTTGCTGTGAGTCGGAATCGACTCGATGACAATGAGTTTTTTTGGCTTTATACTCTTATAGGTCTCTTCTGGATTTTTGGTTCTACTCTTTTGATCTGTGTCTGACTAGTACTACTTTATAAAATGAGTTTAGCTGAATTTTATGTCCCGATCTCTGTATTTAGTTTACAGATGCTGAAGGTTACTTTGCTGCTTGCACAACAGATACAACTATGAATAGTTCTTTGGTAAGTGTTTCTTTTCACATCAGGAACGGAGCAGGTAGAGTTGAGCCATGGCAGGGAGGATTGAAATGGCTTAGATGGAACCACAGCTATATTAGGATGCAGATAGAGCTCAATATTGGTTGCCCTCCATGAGAATTGTAATTTGGTACTTTCTTTCCTTAGGAATACCTGGAAACCCTGGTGGCGTAGTGGTTAAGAGTTCGGCTGCTAACCAAAAGGTCAGCAGTTCGAATCCACCAGGCGCTCCTTGGAAACCCTGTGGGGCAGTTCTACTCTGTCCTGTAGGGTCACTATGAGTCGGAATCGACTCGACGGCAATAAGTTTGATTTTTTTTTAGAGGTAAGCTACTCAGTATTGCGGGGGGTGGGGGGGTGAGGAGGATAATTAAGGAATGGAAATAGTAAAGGATAATATTTTGTTTCTTACCGACTTTGTCGCTTCATGTTCTTTATTATTGTCATTTAGAAACAAGTATTTTTGCTTGGCACTGAGAATATATGAGCAGATTGTTTATTTATTCTGTAAATATTTTTAGAATACCTAATATCTGCTAGGTACTTGTTCTAGGCTGTAGAAATAAAGCTTATGTTCTAGTGTGAGAACATTTATTACTATCCGATAATTAGCAAATGAAGTAATTAACATACTTATTTTAAGAATTTATAATCTACTTGGAGAGAGAGTATTTTAGTCTGGGTTCTCTAGAGGAGCAAAACCAGTGAAGCATATATAAATATACATAGGGAGAAATTTACTTAAAGAAAATGGCTCATGCAGTTGTGGGGGCTGGCAAGTCCCAAATCCATGGGTCAGGTGACAGGCTGAAGACCTCTGCTGGCTCATGTGGTTGTAGGGGCTGACGAAACCAAAATCTGCAGGTCAGGAGGCAGGCTGGAGACCTCTGCTGAATCACAGGGTTGCGGGGGTTGGCAGATCTAAAAATCTGCAGGTCAGGCGGCAGGCTAGAGACTTCTGCAGGCTTATGTCCCAAGAACTGGAGGTCAGACCAGAAGACCACAGAGTTGAGAAAGAGCTTTGCCAGAACATCCGTTTATATACTGGAGGCAGGCCACACCCCCAGGGAAACTTCCCTTTCTACTGATAGGCTGCTCACATCATCACAAAATGGAAGGTAATTACATAGTGTCTGCCAAACCATAGCCTAGCCAAAATGATACATAACATTAATCATCACAGATAGTATGTAAAAATCTCTTCCTTTTATACCATCCCTAGTACACATCTTTAAAATGTATTATTGACAATACAGCTTTCCAAACTTGGCATTCTGTCTGAGAATAGTTTCAAATTTACTTTAAAATTTAATACCAATTTCTGAAACACTGACCTGGAGACCTTATTGACAGTCCAGCTTTTTGTTTATTTATCTGGTTATTTTAGAACTACAGTGGCATGCAGGATAGGTTTCTAGGTACTGTGAAGAGTTTATGAAGCTTAGAAAAAAAGCCATTTCTTTGCTCTGGGATCTGAAGGGTTGACAAGATAGTTTAATATCACTTGTCTCTGTTAATGTAGAAGGCATAGTTGAGATGGCAGCCTACTCTTATAACTACTCTTCTGCTATCTCTTGCAATTATCAGATGCATATATCAAATTGCTCTAGGCCAAATGCTACAATGAAGAGTTCAGTACAACAGACTTATCTGTTTCCAAATTGTGTAGTCTCTTAATTTACTGAGTTTTTTACATTGGCAGAGTTCTATGTCAGGAGAAATCAAAGAAATAAAAAGCATTTTTTGTTAATTCAAGAAATAGCCTAGTTGAAAAGTTGTGCCTTAAATATAGATCATCCGAAGAACATTTGCAAAAACAGTTAATGACTTTAGACACACCTACAAATATAGTGCTTTAAAGCATGGACAGACAAACCTGGCTTTAATTCGTGTATCTATCACTTGGTTATTTTCTATCTCAGCTTCTGGAAAAGTTCTTTTAAAATACCTATTTGATAAAGTTGTTGTGAGGACTAATAAGAAATACATGTTTAACTACTTAGGACTTTGTACCTGGTACATAGATTAAGAGCTGATAAGTGGTAGCTGCTGCTGCTTTTTTTTTTTTTTTTTAAATCTATTAATCCTGTGAAGATTTTAAGGAATTTTTGGTTTTAGTTGAGGGCTAATAAGAAATATATGATTAACTATATAGGACTTTGTCCCTTGTACACAGTAAGAGCTGATAAGTGGTAGGTTTTTTTTTTTTTCTTTTTAATCTGTTAATCCTATAAAGGTTTTAAGGAATTTTTGGTTTTAGTTGAATCTTAAGTAATGAGGAAACAATTAGGCAAATATAAATACCTGTCGTGTCCTACCGTTCATTGTCCGCCTCCTCCTTCAGAGTACACAGTCGTTCAGCACAGACACTTCGTCTTTCACACTCTTTTATCTCCAAGGCCTAGTACATTGCCTGACAGAGTAGGGACTCACTATGTATTTGTTAAAAGAATAAATGAAAAGAGATGGGAAATAATCTGTTAGCTGAGACGTCTGTTTTTCTGACAGTTAAATATTATAATGTGACAATGCTTTTCTATTAAATTACTAACCTTTAAACTGATTCTTTTCTGTCATTGTACTTGTGCAGATCAATTGAATTTTCTTTTTAAGCTTTGAAAATGTGTTTTGGGAAATTTATGCTTTATATACATGGTGGCAAACCTGTTTTTTGGGTGGTATCTGTGTCTTCCATCCATTTAAATTTTAGCCAGTATACCAGCTGTTTTAGTTGCTGTTTATATTTGTGTCTGTATCTGTTACATTCCAGAGTGAACCTCTGTATGTTCCTGTGAAATTTCATGATCTTCCAAGTGAAAAACCTGACAGCACAAATATTGATACTGAAAAAAGTAAGAAAAATTTAGGATATCATAACTTAGAATGAGTGGAAATTTTATCTTCATTTATGCAATCCCAAAATGTAGTGCTTCTGTGGGTTGAATGGGTTCATCTAGCAGTTCTTAGCATTGGAAGCTAAGTTCCACGTGGTGTTGACTGGGCCTACAGCCTTCTCGAAGCTTGACTGGGTTTAGATAGTCATTTTTTTATTGATTCAACAGGGAATAATTTTCAAATACCAGAAGTCTCTAGGGTTTCATCTTGTTTTTGTTTTTACATAAACTTTATTCCCTTCAACCATGCCCCTGAAAGACTCTGATAGCAAATTACAGTAGTTTTGTTGGTTCTGTGAATTTAGTAAAGAATGCCAGCTTCAACATAAGGCACAGTCTGCCTATAATATTCCCTTTCAAGGAATGGACTTATGGAGGAACGTTCTGCATGCTTGCCCAGGAAAGTAATTCTCATAAATTAGCTATCCACGAGGAAAACTCAGATAAGATTTTACTATAAATGCTAAAGTAGTAACCTCTTAGAATCCTAAATCAGTCGATTGTGCATGTATACAATTGCAGAAACCTTGTTTTAATATTGATCTGATTTTAAAACTTTAAAACATTTTTATAAATGAAACCATTTTTACTGTTAATTCTTTTGAGTGGACAAAGCTTCCGCTTAAGAATATAACTCTGGGTTTCTTTGATTCTCTAAGTCTGCTCATAGATCGATTAAGTAATATGCTCTTATCAGTAAATTAAAAATTGTGACTTTTGTTGATCACAAGGGAAAATATTTAATGATTTTATTCTATACTTTTTTCTTTTAAGCTCCCAAAAAGTCTCGTGTAAGGTTCAGTAATATTATGGAGATTCGACAGCTCCCATCAAGCCATGCATTGGAAGCTAAGTTGTCACGCATGTCATATCCTGCTGTGAAAGAACAAGAGTCCATACTAAAAACTGTGGGGAAACTTAATGCAACTCAAGTAGCAAAAATAAGCTTTTTTTTTTGCTTTGTGGTAGGTCTTCTCTTTATTATGTGTTTGGGACTTGAATTTAAGACAGTAGTACATACCAACAGTATAGTGTTGAAGTGTAAGATTATTAGGTTTTTTAATCATGACTTTAAACTCACCGTTGGGGAATTAGAGTATCAAAGTTAATAAATACTTGTTATACTTCAGAGAATTAGAGCTCAATAAATCCTATAATATTAAAACTATACACACACACGTAGTCCCCGACTTATACAATCTATTCAAGTTAATGACGAACTGCACTTAAATCGTCTGTTTTGGGGGGTTTTGGGTACATCTTATCGTTAGTAATATGTACTACATATGGTATTGCAGTGCATAATTTCCTGATGTCATCATATCTGTAAGTTTATATGTAATGTTTCCAATCCCTCAAAGACAAATAAAGATTGGATTTATAAAGATACTGAAAATGAAAGGCAATAATAATGAAAACTTAAAAAAGAAAACAAGGTATTTGACTTATGGCAGAACCAACTTAGGACAGAGTTGCTGGAATGGACTATCTGTATATATATAAATATATGTAATTTGGGAAGTTCTTCAGAATTTTGCATTGACTCAGAGTCAGTATTATGAATAGAGTCATTTTACACTACAGTGTATACAAGAGCTAGTAATAACCCAAATAAGAGTTTACTATATTTATTGATTTTTTTTTTTTTTGCAGTTTGTGTTTAAGTCATGTAAATGTGGTCAAATATTATTTTAGTAAACATATCTATAGAATTCACTTTTAATATAGAAACTGAAGGATGTGCTTAAGATCTCACATAGAATAATGATATATATAGTAAATAAAGCATTACTATTTGCGTCTGAATTGGGATTAGAGACTTCTCTGAGTTAGTGAAAACTCTGAAGTTTAGAATTTAAAAAATGAATTTCAGTGCTTTCATTGGAAGTAACCTAATCCCAGCAAACCAAACCCATTGCCGTGGAGTCGATTCTGACTCATAATGACCCTGTAGGACAGAGAACTGCCCCCTGGGGTTTCCAAGGCTGTAAATCTTTACGAAAGCAGACTGCCACATCTTTCTCCTATGGAGCAGCTGGTGGGTTCAAACTGTTGACCTTTCAGTTAGCAGCTGAGTGCTTTAACCACTGCACCACCAAGTTTCCTTAACCTAATCCAGGGTTGCTTAATATGAACCTTTAAGATGCAAATTTATTCTGATGTTGTTAAAACACTAGACAATACAGTGTCATTTTTATTACCTTTATTACAAGGTTTTTCAGCTTCACAGTTTTGCTTCCTATGCTCATTACATAGCTCATTTTTCTCCATCCCCTGCCTGAATAGTCTCTATTTTTGTAGTAACTGATTAGTATATTCTGTACGAATCAAAAGAAACCTCTAGGAGTTTTAATATGATAATTACATATGTAATAAAAATAAAGGCTCATATATTGGGATTATACTATTAATTGTGATTTCTGATTGTTTTAAATTAGTGTCAGGCAGGACTGAAAAAAATAATTACATGCTACCGAATTTTCAAAAGAGATTTGAGATGGCCGGTAATAAAAAACACCTATACACTAGAAGTTAAAGGCGAAAAGATGAGAGCCAAATTGAAAGGGTTAATGGGTTAGGGAGGGAGCTGGCTGTGGAAGGGAATGATTATATCAAGAATTCAGTTTAAAGGAAGAAAGCTACTCAGGTGAGCACACACCGCACCTCCAGGCACGTTGACAAGCAAGGCAAAAAGAAATTATACAGATTATTGTCTATTAAAAGGAAATATCTCACTTCATTGGATAAAGCAAACATTTTCCTAACTCAGAACTCTAAGAGAAATGTATTACGTAGTTTCTTACGTAATAAGACACTATTCTGTATATTAGGTTTAGAAATGTGTGCTGATAATAGTCTTTTTTTTTTAATCAATGTTAAGTAAGTTCTGAGAGCAGAAAGCTATGTTAGTCTGTAGTAGAGGCATTTCTATGGGAAGTCAAAGTAATATAGTCCAGGTATATAGCTTTTAGAAACCTAACTTAATAGTAAAATCCTAGGTAAGGTCTAGAGCAGTGCTGTTCAATAGAAATATAACGTGAGCCTCAAACGCAAGCCATGTGTGTATTTTTAAGTTTTTTAGTAGCCGTCTTTAAAAAAAAAGTAAAAAGAAACAGATTGTTAATTTTAATGCTATATTTTACTAACCCACTCACCCACTCACTATATGTAAAATACGTGTATGCTAATGTTATCAATATAAAAACTACTGATGTGAGAGTTTACGTTTTTTTTTTTTTAGTGCTAAAATCTGTGAAATCTAGTATATATTTTACACTTAACAAATTTCAGTTTGGGCTAGCCACATTTCAGTTGCTCAGTAGCCATCTGTGGCTAGTGGCTAATATATTGGGTAGTGCAGGTCAAAAGGAGTTAAAGATTACTATACTTACCAGTCTTCCTTGAATGTAGTTTGTCTCTCTCAAGGCTTACGTTGTTAATTTTTTTTTTCCTATAAAATATAGGTGATACGGGCTTTACCAAGAATACCTTTTACGATAATTTTAAAATTAATTACCACTCATGAAATATTATGTAAATTACTTGCTAGAGATAAACTAATTATTATTAAGTGGTTGTCTTCAACTCTGGAAGAATGAAGGAAAACATTATAAGGGTAATTTTTTATTGAAAGATAATTATGATCTTTTGTGATGAGGGTACCTTGGGTTGGAGAGAGCCAGAGAATAGAGTTTTGGGAGATGGGGAGAATGAGGAAGGTCTTTCTGGAAAGAGTTCATAGCTCATCATGAACTATTATGGTCTTTGAATGCCTGCCATCTAAGTAATCTGCTTTTATTTCTTTATCTTGCATTAGAGTGACCAGTGAGATTGTTTGCAAATGAGCACAGTATCCTAAGGGAAGTGGATCAAGAAAGCTAATTATTACCCTATACAAGTTATCTGTTCTTGCAGAAAATCCCCAAAAGATAATTAAGGGCAGAATCTTCTGCTGCTTTTCTAGCACTTAATCCACAGGCAGCTTCTGGCTCCTATAGCTGTATATGTTTGCTGTTGCCCATCTTGTCAATTGCTGCCTCATTTTCTTATTTAGATAAAACAAACAAAAAAACTCAAATCCATTGCCATCGAGTCAATTCTGACTCATAGAGACCCTATAGGGCAAGGTACAGCTGCCCCATAGGGTTTCCAAGGCTGTAATCCTTACAGAAGCAGGCTGCCACATCTTTCTCCCATGGAGTGGCTGGTGGATTCGAACCACCAACCTTTTGGTTAGCAGCTGAGCCCTTAACCACTGTGGCACCAGCGCTCCTCCTCTATTTAGATAAGGAAGTGAAATTATATAGGAAGTCAGGACTACAGATACAGTCAGAATCACATCTTGGGTACAGAACAGATGGAATGGAGACGGCTAGCTCTCAGGGATCTGTAGCTTTTAATAATGCTCTAAGATTGTGTAGCTATGTTGCTCCTTTGAAATTTAAATGCTAATAATTTATACTACTACTTAACTATAAGTTCTGAGAGTGATCAAGAGATGTCCTTCTCTTTAATAGAGACCAGTCATTCTTTAGTAGAATATGATTATCCCATCAATCTGTGTAAGTATCAGAAATTCCAGAAAAAGACTAGCAGTCAATTTACTTTGATTGCTTCTCTTTTGTACAGTTCACCAAAAACCAGATTGTTCAAGGATGTAAATTAACAGCAATTCTTTTATTCTACTGGGTGAGAGCATCAATTATTACAGCCTCTTTGGAAAACAGTTTGACATTATCTAGTAAAGTTGAGGATGTACATTCTTATGACCCAGCAGTCCATTTCTTTGTATATCCTTTAATAACACTCATGCGCATATGTACCAAGAGGTATATACTAGAATGTTGATAGCATTGTTTGAAATAGTAAGTATCCATCAACAGAAAAATGAATGAGCTGTGGTAATATGCATTAGAGTACCCTGTAACAGTGAAAATAAATGAATTCTGGACACATACACACACATCAGACTTCTTCAAAAGGAAGTCTTATTTCTTATTCCATAAATCAAGGCAGTCACAGGGTTGGTAATAAAGAATATCCTAGCCTAGATGAGAAGAAGAGAAGAAACAGAAGGAAAAAAAAATCCTCATAGGAGAAAAACTTCCTTCACTGTGTCCAAGTCATGGAAACTCTTTGATTTATGTCTCCAAACTGAGTGTTAGAGAAACAATCACAATTAGTAAATTAGAATTTGTATAGAACATTTCTGAATTTCCAAAGTGGCTATATAGCCTTTTATGTCTCGATCTAGTTAAATAGTATCTTTCTGTCCATCCCCAGAGACATCATCTTGTTTAATAGATTCCTCATCATGCTGTAGTCATCTGTACGTTATATAAGGCATGTTTCAATGTTTAAGCTTTATCTGAAATTTAAATTTCATTTAGGTAAACTTAATAGAATGCTAGCTGTGCTTGGATAAAGCAAGTTTTAATGTTGATTTGATAATTGATTTTACCCACATTAAAAAAAAAAAACCTGAACGCTAATTTTTAATCAACTATTATTGTTAATTTTTTAGAGGGAAATTGGGTAGCAAAGCCTTTTTATAAATTATTTGGTACTTTATGGGGGGCCAGTAATTTTTCAATACAAAGTAACTTTTAAAACCTCTCATGGTACCAGAGTATAGAGGGAGAAAAAAAGGGGGACTGTAAATTGTAATAACAAATATGTCATTCATTAGGTTTCACTTGTTTCCTTTTTCTTCAGTTCTTTTTGGCGAATTTGTCATATCAAGAAGCACTTTCAGACACACAAGTTGCTATAGTTAATATTTTGTCTTCAACTTCTGGTAAGAAATTTTTCTTCAGAAACCTATATTACAAACTGAAGTTCATTTTTGATACACGCACACGTATTTGTCTTGCTATAAATTATTAGTACATTAGTGTATTATCACTGCTGCGTAATGTTTATAGTTTCATGCCATGGCCTATGTTATTTATATTCCTGCAAATACATTACAGTATTTCTTATACAACAATATATTAAAATTTTATAGGGTGGCTCTTGTATTCCACTTGTCTTTCTTTTCACATACCCTTTCTGAAGATGTTTTTCTAGACCCTGCGGCTAAATATAATTGCTTATTTCAGAACTATAATTTACCCTATGAAAGGTGTTTTATTTTTAAAATTGAATCACTTTCCAAATCCGGAGGATAAAAAGTATTTTTGAAGCTGTAAAAATAACTGTAGCACTCAGGCTAGATTTCGATGAGGTCGGAATGTCACTCAGTGCTACATTTAATTCACTTATTAGTTTAAAATAAATAGAATTATACTTGATCTGTATTGTTGAAATAAGCATAGTTTAGTTTAGAAGTTGTTTTCATAATCTTTCAAAATTTCAACCTAGCTAACTGTAGTCTTAGTTATTTTAAAATAAATAACAAGACATAGTTTAAAAGTTAGGTGGTAAATAGTTTTAATAGTATTTAAGCTAATGCACTTTTTTCATTCTCTTCTCCCTGTAGGACTTTTTACCTTAATCCTTGCTGCATTGTTTCCAAGTAACAGTGGAGATAGATTTACGCTTTCTAAACTGCTAGCTGTAATTTTAAGGTAAGAATATAGTGTAATAGCTAGTTTCACTACTTAAAAGTACAGTGTTTGAAAAATTTCTGGCAGTGATAACAGGATAGTTTATATTATAGTATATAGGCAAAGAAAGATGTGGATAAAAGATTTTAAGTGGACATAATGCTACTCAGCTCTGCCTCTTGTTGTTGACTTGTTTTCTAAACTTTGCTTGGTAGGGGGACAGGGGAAGGACCCCAAGGCAGCTTTGGTTCCTATTCACATGATGGCAGATTTATTAAGTCTTGCACTGACATGTTCGTGTTTCAGATGCCAGCTTAATTCTCATAACCTTTGAAGTTTCTGTTCCTTTTTCTAAGACAACAATTTTTTGTTTGTGTTTTGGTTTCTAAAATCATATTCTCTACTTCTAAAAATCTAACATTCAGTCTTCTATGATTGTCTCAGCCTCTAGTGGGTTTTTTTTTTTTTTTTTTTTAAATTATTTTCTGTATATAGTAAGTCCGTGGGTGACGAAGGGGGTTGGCAAACTTTGGTGGACCAGCTGCCTGTTTTTGTTAATAAACGTTTATTGGAACACACAAGTTCTCATCCTTAACTCAGCCTTATTTTTACCCATTAAAATAATGGGATTAATGGAATTGTTTAAATATCTAAGAATAGTTTTAATTTGAGTTTTACCCATAAGCAAGAGTAGTGCCATTCTAGGTGTATATGGGTTTTATATATATATATGAAAGAAAGACTTGAAGGGTAATGACAGATTCGTTAATTCTTCCTCAATGGAGCGGCCGTAGATAGCATAGGGAGAAGAGCACTGGGCTCTGGAACCAGTCTGCCTGGATTCAAATCCCAGCTGTGCGATCCTGGTCAGGTTATTTCACCTCTTTGTGCATTCGTTTTTTTCTGTATAAAATGGGAATGACAATAATCACACCTTACTTATAAGGAAATGTCCGTTTTGTGAGGATTAAATGATTTACTACAAGTGTAGCACTATAGGATCCCTATGGGTCAGAATCAACTTGGTGATAACGGGTTTGTTTTTTTTCTGCATAGCACTTAGAATAGTGCCTGACACATACTGCTTAGGTGTTATTAATTAAATCGCTACATTCTTCGACAATTTTACCTAAAGTTAAGATTAGTCTCGATCACTTGTAAGTAGTTTTATCTTTGTGATTATCCTTTTAAATTTATTATTGCTCATCAGTAATGAGTATTATTCTCATAGCATAGGAGGTGTTGTACTGGTAAACCTGTCAGGATCTGAAAAATCTGCTGGAAGAGATACTATAGGTAAGTACCTGACTTTGCATTCTCTCTGCTAGAGTGAACAAGAAAGTTTTGTGCACATCCTGCACACATGTGCTCACACCCGCCCTTCTCCGCTAGGGTAAACAGCGTCAAAACGACGTCAACGCTAACAGACTAACAAGACTTTTTTTTTAATCGTCCCTTTTGAAATAATATTTAAAACTTCAAAAATAGTTTAAAAAATTCCTATATAGCCTTTGCCCAGATTTTCCAAATGTTAACATCTTACATAACTACAGTACAGTTATAAAAATCAGGAATTAACATTGATACATGCTATTATCTAATCTGTAGACTCTTCTTGAATTTCACCATTTTCCCACTAATGTTCTTTTTCTAGTCTAGGTTCACTTGTATTTAGTTGTCATGTCTCCCTAGATTCCTGTGTGGGACTGTTCCTCAGTCTTTTTTTGTCTTTCATGACCTTGACAGTTTTGAAGTACTGTCCAGTGGTTTTATAGAATGTCCCTCAGTTTGGGTTGGTTTGATATTTCCTTATTGTTACATTCAAGTTGTGCATTTTGTTAAGAATACTACAGAAGTGAGTTTATGTCTTGGTTAGTGTATTAGGAAGCACATAATGTTGATTTGTCTTATTACTAGTGATGTTAACTTTATCACTTGGTTAAGGTGGTGTCTGCCAGTGTAAAGTTACTAATTTTGTGAGTAATAAATATTTTGTAGGAAGATACTTACATACTACACAAATATCCTGCTTTTATCATACTTTCAGCCACTAATTTTACCATTCACTGTTGCTTCTTACCTGAAACAGCTTAACACTGTGGTGAACACCTAGTTTTTTATTCATTTTTAGATTTAACAAAAACAAAGGTAATTGGAGCCCAGCTTAATGGTTTCCCTCTGGTTATTTTGAACATAATACTTTTTTCTAAACTATTCCTAGTTGTTGCCTAGTGAGCTATTCCTTGAACTACCTCACCACTTTCTCCCCTAGAACAGCTTTGTGTATGTGAAACAATATATATATTGTGTGTATATATATAAATATATGTATATATATTTTTGTTTTTGTTGTTGTTGTGTATGGGGTCGTGTCAGGATGGCTAAGTGGTCTGAGGCTCCAGACTCAAGCTTCTGCTTCCTGTGCTCAGGGTTTCTGGTCTGCAAATGGAGGGTGGGTTCGAATCCCACTTCTGACACAGTACTGTTTTGGAAACACTGTGGCATAGTGGTTAAGAGCTGTGGCTGCTAACCAAAAGGTTGGCAGTTCGAATCCACCAGGTGCTCCTTGGAAACTCTATGGGGCAGTTCTACTCTGTCCTGTAGGGTTGCTATGAGTCAGAATTGACTCGACGGCAGTGGATATGTATACAAGATTTTGTTGAAGGGTTCCCCCCTGCTTTAAAAAAAAGTTTGAAAGTAATAAAAAATCTTATTTAATAAAACATTGGTTATATGGATAATTGATTAAAGTATTAAATATGGTCACTTAGCCAATAGCACGTTATTTGACTTTATCTTTTAGAACAATTTTAGGTTTACAGAAGAGTTTCACAGAAGTATAGAGTTTCCATATCCATAGCCGGCCCCCCCCATACATACTCACATACCCACACACACAGTTTCCCCCTAACAACTTGCATTAGTGTGATATATTTGTTACGATTGATGAACCAGTATTGATACGTTATTAGCTAAAGTCTGTTGTTTACATTATGGTGCACTCTGTGTTGTACAGTTTTGACAGAAGCGTAATGTCATGTATCCACAATTACCATGTCATACAGAATAGTTTCACTGCCTTAAAAATGTATTTGACTGTTTTTAAAGACCTACTTAAATGTTTTTGAGAGTGCAACATGAATGAATTAAAGAGAACCGATGCTTATTATTCACATACTGTGAACCCAGCATTATGTTAAATATTGTGGAGCATTAAATAGTATAAATTATGTGTTTAAAGTTTTCTAGGAGTTCTAAATTTTGTTTAGTATATGAGATTTAAAAAATGAAGCAACTCGACAATAAATTGATACCGTATGTAACCATAGTATGATGTTGTCTAAAACAGAAGACACATTAGATAGAAGTTCAGTGGAGTACAGAGAGGATGCTTTGTGACAGAGGTGGGACTTTAACAGAGCCTAGAAAATCCGGATGACGATGGTGGAAAATAAAGATGATACAGGGAGTGCTACCGGGGTGGGTAGAACAACGTAAACAACGCTTTAGAGATGGAAAGAAGCATCGTAAAGTTGGACAGTGTCAAGTGTCAAAATTGTTTATGTAGGAAAAAATAGGAAGTATGCATTTCAAAATTAAAAAACAAAGTATTGCACACATATGTGTTTCATCTTATAATGTATTCCCGAGCCTTGTGACTGTTTTTGCATTTATTTGTTTATACATTAAACTCCTTCCTTTACTGCTAAAGGACATGGATGGGGTGGGGTATACTTTATTTTTCTATTTTTGTATACTCATTGCTTAGAACAGTATCTGTCACATTATTAGATTTTAAATAAGTCAGTGTTGAAAGAGTTAATGAATGAAATTCTTTAAGTCATTGTATTGACTTTTACAGGTTGCATTTGGTCTCTTGTTGGAGCTATGCTTTATGCTGTCTATATTGTTATGATTAAGAGAAAAGTAGACAGAGAAGATAAATTGGATATTCCCATGTTCTTTGGTAAGAATATGTTTAATTTGTAAGGCCATTTACTCTAAATGATTAACTTAGGTTTTGTTTTTGGAGGGGAAGAGGGAAGTCTTTTTCTCCCCCCATATGATTTTTTCTTTAAAATCGTAGGGGTTTAGGGATGGACTAGACCTTAAAGATTTAAAGTCCAATCTCAGTATTTTTCCCTTACCATGTCCTACATAGTTGTGCACTTCTGTGAGGAAGTACCCATTCCCCGATGTGAGGCAGAGAAAGAAACTCCTCCTAACACCTTTTTCGCAGTAATTTTTTCAGCTTGTGAGTTAGGTACATGTCATTGACATGACAGAAGGATGCTATTGTAAGCATATGGGAGTATACCTGCTGTATTATAATTTGGCCATTTTTGAATTGTTTGAAGCATAAGATTGTAGAAACTGCCCTCAAATTATATATATATATATATATACACATATGTACATATGCATATACACACACACACACGTTATTTTTTTTTAACATTGAACCTTTTGGGGCCATTTAAAGTTTCCCCATTTGTACATTTTATCTTTAAGACTTCAATTCTTTTATGACATAGATTCTCAAATTACTTAATTGTAGGTTCTGGCACCAATACTTAGATTTTGGTAAATAAAATACCTAATCTGATTTATAAATTCTCCTTTGCCTAAAATCAGCTCATTAAAGAAATTGTGGTATGTGTAGGATTGCAAGGAAAGAGCACGTTGACAAGATCTCTTAGAAAAGATATTTGAAAATCAGGAGATAAAGAAGCCTGATGATTAGAGTTCAAAGTGCAGCTTAGATCTGGATTCTAGCTGTTGTGACTTCATTTATCTTACAGTCGTCTGGAAAATGAGAAAGTTGGACTAGACGAGTGGCTTCCAAACTCTGATTTACAGAGGGTCCTGGGAAGATTAGGAGGAGGCAGAGTTGCATGTATAAGCTTGGTTCTCGGACTCCTCTGCTGATTTAGCTGAACAGTTCTGCTTCTAAAAAAGATTTTCTGCTGCAAATAGTTTGAATACCTTCACCTGAAGACTAACAAAAATAAAACATTTGTAAAATCACCAGACTGAGTGATCGTACAAGTATAGAATTCAGTAACTATACCTGTAAATGTGATACTTTTAATGATGTTTTATTGTAGAGTCATAGAATATTCTACCCGGAATGAGATGAAATGCTACTGTTCTTTGAATGTCCTTATTATACATAAATGGGTGGGATATTGACACTTTTTTTAAAAAAAAAATTAAACTAAATTGCCATCTGCTGAAAGGTCAGCAGTTCAAACCCACCAGCAGCTCCACGGGAGAAATATGTAGCAGACTGCTTCTGTAAAGATAATAGCCTTGGAAATCCCATGGGGCAGTTCTATTCTATCCTATAGGGTCACTATGAGTTTTTAACATTGGCAACTTTCAAAAAAAAAAAATGCTTAATTTACTCTTATGAGAGAGCGAATGTAGAAATGTAACTCATATTGATCCTCTTCACCTGTGACATGATACATAAAGTAAAGTTGATTTGATTTGGGCTTTAGAATAGACAGAATTTGGATAAGTTAGGATTGGAACAGGGTTCTTCAGGTAAGGGAGTATGAGCAGAGGCATAACAGGCAGCAGTGAGTACATCAATCCCGTTTTGCTAGAGAGTTCTCTTGGTGAGAACAGGAAGGTATGCAGGGCCAGGTTCTGGAGGGACTGGAGAGTAAACCCCAAAAACCAAACCCATTGCCGTCGAGTCAATTCCAGCTCATAGGTGAAGCGGTTTGTGCCTTAGTCCCTAGAGAATAAAGAGAGCTGTATGGCATGTTGTTAATTTATATGGGAATTGTAGACTTGGTAGTTCAGGGACTGCAAGATAAATTTGCCTCTTAATAATGCCAAATTTTTGTGTTTTAATTAGAATAATTTTTTAATGCTAACCAAGCATTTTGAGGTTATGAATCCCTTCTGTATGTGTAAGTTTTTGTTTGTTTTTATTTTTATCACGGAATGTCTTAATTTGGGCTCCCTAGAAGCAGGATATGAGACAGGGATTTACTGTGGATAATTTATTGAGGGAGTACTGTGCAGGAAAAACTGGGAAGTGAGTGAGGGAGGCAGGTTAGACAAGGGGAAGAACCATGTGGTCTCAGGTAAAGTTGAGGTTTGGTCCAGTTCATGGCAGTTGGGGAGTCTGGGTGTCTGGACACTCCTCATAGTTGTCCTGGCCTTGAGCCATGACAGCCAACCTTGTAAATCCCCTACCAGTCATTGCTGCAGAGGGTGTGGGGTGGGAACTTCCTGGGAAGGTAGACCTGTTTGCTCTCTAAGGACAAGTCTTCAAAGAAGGGGGATAGTTGTGGGTTTTTAGCAACAGATAGGGAGTGAGTGCTCCACCTTCCTTAAGATTTAACTTACTCATTGCTGTTGAATCGATTCTGACTCATAGTGACCGTATAGAACAGAGTAGAACTGCCTCATAGGGTTTCCAAGGAGTGGCTGGTAGATTTGAACTGCTAACCGTTTGGTTAGCAGCCATAGGTCTTAACCACTGTGCCACCAGGGCTCCTAAGATTTTTTTTTTTATTGTACTTCAGGTGAAGGTTTACAGAACAAATAGTTTCTCAGTAAACAATCAGTACACATATTGTTTTATGACATTGGTTAACAACCCCATGACATGTCAACCGTCTCCCTTCTCGACCTTTTTCTTTTTTTGGTGAAAATATACATAGCCAAAGATACACCATTTCAAAAATTTCTGCATGCACAGTTCAGTGACATTGATTATGTTCTTCCAGTTGTGCTGCTGTTCTCACTTTAGATGAAGGTTTACAGAACAAAATGGTTTCTCATTAAACAGTTAGTTCACATGTTGCCCTATGACAACGGTTAACAACCCCACTACACGTCAACACTGTCCTTACTCAACTTTGGGTTCCCTATCACCAGCTTTCCTGTCCCCTTCTGCCTTCTAGTCCTTGTCCCTGGACTGCTGTGCCTCATTAGTCCCGTTTTGTTTTATGGGGCT